AGGTTGCGCTCACTGCCTTCGAGAACGAACTCGGTGTGCAGGCGCCAGTTGGGTTCTGGGACCCTGTAGGTTTCACTGCCGATGGTGACGTGGCTGCTTTCAAGCGCCGCCGATCTGTGGAATTGAAGCACGGACGAATCTCCATGATGGCGACCATGGGTGCTTTGACTGCAATGGTGCGAACGAGTTTTTTGTGACGATGTGAAAGAACATGTTTGATATTGCATGTCAGTACAAAAAAAAATTACATACCGACGTGTGCACAACATACATCAAGACAACTGGATAGGAGACTTTTGAGACTTTTTGAGCATTGTTCTGCTTACAGTACGATCCCAATGTTGAATTGGCGACCACTTGGCTGAGTTTTTTGAGTGTACAACGTCTTGTTCCCGAGGATACATCACCCCTGAGGTCACTGGCAAGCTGTCCGAAACTTAAGACGACGCTGAGTATCAAACTGCAGTGGTGTTGAGAGGAACGAATCGAAAATAAGTCTTGTCAGATTTTGGATGCGCAAGAATTTTGTCACACTGAGGCCTGGTTTCTTGTCTCCATCTGCCGGCCTGAAGTTCGCCGACATCCCCAATGGACTTGCAGCAGTTTCCAAGGTACCAGTGGCTGGATGGGCCCAGATCGCTGCGTACTTCGGCTTTGTCGAGTTCAGCGGTGGCTTCGATGACTACAAGACCGGCACCCCTGGTGACTACGGTTTCAAGGTGTTGACTTCTTCTGATCCTGAAGAGAAGACCAAGAAGTTGTCAGCAGAGCTCGCCAACGGCAGGTTGGCCATGATGGCTATCATCGGCATGTTCTTCCAGGACTGACAAGCAACAGCCAAGGCCAAGAATGACTGCGTGTACTTGTACGAAACCATGTGGGGTGCTGCAGTGTTGATTGGGTTTTTCCAGATACATGAGGATTGACTTTGCCAACATCATAACTATACAAGTAAGTAGCTATACAATATACTGTAATCGTATATATGTGACAATGTAAATGTTTATATATGTATATACATACGTGACCTGGCCCCTGCAGCCTCCCCCCTCCCCCGTGGTTGTGGCTGTGGTATGGGAGGGTGGGGCGGGAGGGTGGGTTGGGTGTGTGGGGTGTGCCAGGGTTTGGAGGTGGTGGCGGGGTTATGTGGGGTGGGCAGGAGGGCAGGGACCAGGTCATACATAGTTACATAGATAAAAGGATGCTGATAGGTAGATAGATTCCGCTTCCCCGTCATGTGGCTCCAGCTTCGGCAAGCCGGGAAGGGATTCAGAGTGTTGGCTTGCGGTGACACAAGCAGTTACTGAACACCACCGGTTTCGCGGGGTGAGCCGGTCTCAGGAAAAAAGCTGGCCCACGAGTGCTCGTGCCGTGCGTCTGCCAAACCGCAAGGCCTTCCCTTTGTGATCGGTCACAATGTTGACTCAAGGACTCCTTGCGGCCGAACTGGACTTCGTCATCGACGTCTTCATTGTCGATGTTTTGAACTTCGGCCTTCCCATGGGTTGAAGCTATGCACGGTGAATTTGCAGGGTCCCTTGTGGAGCAAACTTTCCCATCGACCCAAGCTGCAGCAGTTGATACTTAAGGTGTCTCAGGATGCATGGCGCTGATGCTACCTTCTTGTCTGATTTGCCTGCATTTCTCGGCGCCTGAAGCTCTTGAAGTTGTGTACATCGAAGACTATTTTTCTTTGTGCTCAGAGGCCGTGTTGGTTTCGTTATAAAGGCAGTTGCAAGGCTGTGGGAACAATATGGCAGCGACAGGCTTTTGGCCTTGGGCTTGCAAATGCATGGGCAATACTTGCACTTCACCTGCACTACCACAAAGCTTAGCAGCTTCACTTGAAATGCTTGGGCGTGTCATCCTTTCAGATTTGGGCTGGAGATTTTAATGGCCATATTGGGGCCGGTGATGCCGAACCTGAGGTGTTGGAATCGCATGGATTCGCTTCTCCTGCTACCACTGCAGGCCGCCGGATCTTAAAAGAGTTTCTCCGTGGCACGCAGCTATGTCATTTAGATTCCTTTCATGCTTCCAGCGCGCGCGGCACCTGGATGCATAATTTCATCCATGAGTTCTACGCACTTGATGTCTTTCTGATTTCTCGGAGCTATGCTCATCTGGTCAAGCGACAGTTGGGTATCTTTTCGGGGGTCTCAGACCATTTGGCAAAAACATGTTTTTTTTGCATGTGGGAAGCTTGGACACTCGGCCACAGCTTGTATCACTCACTCTCGAGCTGCTGTGTTGAATGAGGCGTTCTTTTAATAATTTGGGAGACTTCAATATCGATCCGTCAGACAGCCCTATTCTTGTTGATGCTATCTCCAAAGGTTTCCTTTTGGATTTGGGTGAAAATTGTGGTCCAACATTTTTACCATCCCATGGTCAACCACGAAGATTAGACCTCATCCTAGCTGCCCGTTCGGCGGCAACAACTTTGTTGACCGCCAATAATGTTGAATCATCTGGTCTTCCGGGCCATCTGCCTATAGCTGCTGAGTTTCGCTTAACCGAGCTTAATGAAATTACTCCTCGCATTCGAAAGCCAGCATCTTTTCCCACAAATATGCCTCACCAACCAAAACTTTCTGAATCAATTTTAGCAAAAGCAGGCGATTTGAACTTTGAAGATGTTAATCAAGCATATAATTCTCCCGGGTTGCTGAGGAATATTTGCTCCAGGCTGCAGATGTTACTCGTCAGAGATTTTCTGGTCGTGGTAAGGTACCCGCTTTAGTACTCGAGCCCAGGTTCTGTCCGCAAGGAAAAAATGGTGAGGGGTGTGAAAGTGCCCCTTTGCGACGGCTCAAACGTCTTTTGAGGAGACTTGAACAGCTGCGTCATTTTTGCTCAAAGGAGTCCTTTCTTTCCTGGCGGGCATCGCGGTTTTGGAAAAACATCTGTACCAATCACAGATTTTTGCAAAGCTTCTCCGTAGTTTTCTCTACCCAGGAGTTTCCCTCGCTGGATATTTTGGATAAACTGCTCCAACAAGTGCAAGATCTTGTTCGTAATGTGCAGGCCAGAGAGACCTAACGTCGAGTCAAAACAGCGCAAGCTAAGCTTAGGCAAAATTGGAAAACTAATCCTTCAGTGGTTTACTCTAAAGTGGATCCTCAGCTTGTGAATCCAACTTTTCTTTTACGGACTCCCAGCGGTGACCTCACAGGTAATTAGGGTGATTTTTCTCAATTATTGTTCGACGCCTGGATGCCGATTTTTGACAAATTTTCCAACCAATCCAAGCCCTTTTGGGCAACCTTTTATGAGCGATACCATCAATATTTCGAAAACCCTGCGACCATTTACCACGAATGGGCTCAGAAAAAAAATGAAAAAGATGAACATCCGTAGTGGAACGGGACCGGACTTCTGGTCCGTGTCTGACTTGATCAACCTTCCAGACAGCATATTTTTCTTGTTACCTGCAGCCTTAAGAACTTGTCGAGTAAAAGCAGCAGTGGCCTGAAGCTATGCTGTACGGATTTTGTGCTCTCATTCCTAAGGAGCCGGGAGACACCTCGCCACTCTGTCAAAGACCGCTGGGTATCATGAGTGTGCTATACAGACTATTCTGCGCCTATCGATTGCAGGATGTAATCCAATGGCAAGAGCAGGTTCTCCACAATTCTCAGTTTGGTTTCCGCCCGGGCCATTCGACGGACGATGTTTTCTATGATATCTCCTTGCAAATAGAGGAATCTCTTCTTGCAGGCACTTCACTTATAGGGGTTCATTTCGACTATAAGAAAGCTTTTGACCTCATTCCACGTAATATTCTCTTTGCATTGCCGAACACCTGGGTTTTTGCCCAAACCTGCTCCAAGTTATGAAACACATGTACACCAATTTGCAGCGCTATTTTCGGGTACCAGGGGGAGTCAGCCTGCCTTTCGTTTTGCGTGTGGCATCTTGCAAGGGTGCTCCCTAAGCGTAGTTTTTATGAACTTGATAATCTCGGTCTGGGCTCGCGCGATTGAAGCTGAGACCAGCGCTTTGCCCCGAGCCTTTGCTGATGACTCAATGGTCTTAGCTAAAGATATTAAGACTGCAAAGCATGCCTGCAACATCACTGGTGAATTTGCTACAATCACTGGTCAGGAACTTGCAGCAAAGAAGACAATGGCCTGGGCCACACTAAAGAACTCTCGTGATGCGTTGCGCAAAGTTTCTTTAAATGGTCACCTGCTTAATGTATTCTTGGACATCAAGAGTCTGGGTGCTCAGCTTTGTTCATCCAACATTCGAACTGTTTCTCATTATTCTCAACGCATTTGTGATGCCATACGAATTGCCAATAATGTGTCCAGCTTAATATCTCTAGCACTGATAGGGGGCAGGTTTGCGCGACCAGAATCTTGCCCAAAGTTCTTATTCGAGTGAAATTTCCGCACCCAGTTTTCCGGAACTTGGCAAGCTTCGTAGTGCTATCACTCGGGCAGTCTGGCGCAAGCGGTCTTCTCGTTCAGCAGACGTGGTTTTAAGTTTATTTCACCCGGTACACAGAGTAGACCCTGCAGCTGCATGGGCACATCTTTGTCTCAGGCAGCTTCGACGTATGTGCCTTCGTCGCCCTGATCTTGTCATGCTAATCCGATCTTTGTGGGAATCTCCTTGCACCAAGTCTAAGTTTGGCCCAATTACTTCCGCTAAACGGGCTTTGGACTTTTGGGTTGGACCTGGCCTCAGTTTGAAATTTTTATTTCTCCAAATAGACCCCCTTTCAGATGGCTGCAGCATTCTCGTGCTTTCTTTCAGCATCAGATTCGTGAAGCACTTCGAGAGGCGAGTTTGAAAGCCGCTGATAAAAGGCTGGATCTTCGTGGAATTGGCTCTCGTTCTGTTGATCGTCACACTTTAAATCGTATCTTGCGTAAGTTTAATGATTACCAGCGTGGTACGTTTTCTGCAATTTTAGCAGGGGGTTTTCGCTCTGCCAAGCAGTTCTGCAGGGCCGGTTTGGCCTCGGATCCTACATGCCCTTTCTGTGGCCAGGTTGAAGAGGATGTCGAACACATCTTCCTTTCTTGTGTTGCATGGTCACACATTCGACTAAAATTCCCTGATGTCTCGTTAGATTGGTTGCAGCGGGCATTGCCATGTGAAAAAGTTTGTGCGATCCCATTGCTCCCTCTGGAGGTAACCACTTTGCCAGATCCTGAGGACTCTGAGGACGAGCGCGAAATTGTGATTCCCTTGTCTACAAGCGATTTGTGCATGGAGACAGTGAAGGAAAATTTTGTGATTGCATTCGCTGATGGGGCATGTACCCATCAATCGATTCCCTGTCTTCGAAGAGCAGGTTTTGGGGTAGCATTTGATAAGGACCTCAAACTTTAACACTCTCGAACTGTGTCCCAGCCTCTTTCTGGATCTGAGCAGTCTGCACAGCGAGCGGAAGTTCGGGCAATCTTGGCAGCCTGCAAATTGAGAACCGACCTTTGCATATATTCAGTGACAGCAGCTATGCTGTGGACCAGATGCAAAATCTACTGAATGGCATGTTGCTCCCCGTGGACGGCGAACACATAGATTTGTGGAAAAGAATCCAAATACTTTTGTCTCTTCGATACCACCCACTAAAGATCTCTTGGACTAAAGGTCACATTTCTCAAGATCTAGTTGACGCTGGCCTTTTTCTTCAATTTCAGAAAGATGGCAATGATGCTGCTGATCGAGCAGCGGTCAAAGGTGCAGCGCAACATGCGATTCCGGATTCTGTTGTCAAAAAGTATTTTAACAATTCCAAGCATATGGCCCAAGCAGCTTTAATGTACGTTCAAATTGCCTGTGCCCGTAACCAAAGAGCCAAGCAGCTAAAGGTACTTACGTACTCCAAAACTACCTCACAGAAGGGCACTCTTACTAATG